TTTTTTTGCCCTCAAATTAAAGTCATTTGACTTTACCGATACTGAAACCCATCCGATACTTCTGTAATACATAAAAAACAATAAAAAAGGGGAAAAAACAGATCCAGGATGTTCCTCATTTTTTATTTAATTCACCTTTTTAACATACAACATCTCTGTTAACAAACAGAGCACTTCTCTGAGGTAGCTTGAACAATCAATTATTAACATAAATTCATCATTTAAGTGCAACAGTAAAAATAAAAACAATCTAATATAAAAACTAATAGCACCTCATCTTAAAATACCCAGCAGGCAATCCCAAGTTTACATATCTCACAGTTTGTCATCATCAACTTTATAATACCACCAGACAGCAGACATACTCAGGCTTTCCGCTTCAAGTTGCTTCTGTGTTTTACTTTGCCCGCATTTAACCAATAGCATTTCTGCAACAAAGTGATGTCATGCCGCACACGTTGCTGTTTCTGTATGAAGTAAGAAAGAGGTCTCACTCTGTGCCACTGCTTAACTGTAGATGTATATATATTCTTATTTTTTTACCACATTTATAGTTAAATGGTGGCACAGAGTTAGACCTCTTTCTTGACTTCACATAGAAACAGCAACGTGTGTGGCATGACATCACTTTGTTGGAGAGATGCTATTGGTTAAATGCATAAGTGCATACATATATATATATATATATATATATATATATATATATATATATATATATATTCAAGTCCTGATCGGGAGGTAATATCCGATTCCGATCTAGTCTGAAACCACGTAATCGAGCCCGATTTCCAATCATGTGGTCGAATTTGGACATCCCTACTCAGAACTGTATGTTCTAAACTTTTCTTTTTTTTTTGCCCACATGGACTCTTTTTTTTTTTTTTTTTTTTTGTTGCATGAAAAACAAAAACAGTCGTCAAGTTGATTTAGCCATGAACACCTGATGCTTTGACTACGGTTTATGGTGTTGACATCTTCAGTAAACTCTGTTCTCTAAACAATAAAAAGAAGCTGGGAAAAGACAGTCTACCTTTCACCTCTGACCCTGTTGGAGTACTGGAAGCTTTTAGTCCCCGCTGGGCCTGCTACTTTTTGAGAGGGTGTGAAGTGACGGCCCACCTGTATGAGATTTACCCAGGAGACCTCCGCCCCTTGGCCTACCTGGCTCAGACGGCGTCTTTTCAACCCTGCTCTCTCAGAATCCTCTGTTCCTGTGCCAGCCGCCGACTCCGACCATGAGCACAGGAACAGAACTGCAGCTGCCTGAGGGAAGACAGAAAGGAGAATCTTTGCTTTGGGGAGGACAGGGTTTAGTCATGAATGAGATAAACTGCGGTTTGTTTCGCCATCTCTCTGCTTCCTGACCTTGTTTGTTTTTGTGTTACTTCCTTTTTAATACGCACAAGGGGGAAAAATCACCAAAAACTACAAAGCTTTCACTTTTTACTGCTAATATGCACTTTTGGAGCCAAATCAGAATTCATAGACGTGTTTATCCCTGTGTTGCTATCTTACCTTAGCAACTCTTAGCATCAGCAATATAAACAGCTTTTAACAGGCAGTCACAGAAGTTCCCATGATCCCTTGTTGCAGCCTCAGTACTTGCAGAAACAGGATAGAGAATGAATCACCACCCCCTCCACCCTTTCTTGTAAGTGCCAAAGAAAATCTGCTGATATTAGTACATAAAAAAGAGAAACCTCAGTGCATAGCCAATGCATTGCGTTACCATGTTGCGAAGATGCTGGTCCTGGGATTTTAGTTTTTATCTGTTGCAAGCTGATTTTTTTTTTCTCTCTCTCTGTTTTTGTCCCTGAAGCAAAGGCAAGTTGGGTCCCATTTCTCTTCCGTCCCAATTAAAAGGCTTTTTTGTGCATTGCCCTCCCCCAAATGCACATTTTATCTTTTGGATCTGAGGAAGAACGCCCACCCTTTCTGTATCCCTCACTCCCCCCCTTAGAAGAAAAAAATGCATCTTCCTCTGTTTCCACAGGTCAAAGTTCAGCTAGAGGGGCTTCAGGGGCTAAACAAGATGCGGCAAGCCTCAACATTGGCGGCTTAGATGAGCCTGCCAAAAACAATTACAAGACGCTGCAAACTTCTGTCTCACAGCCATAATCAAAGGTTCCCTGTGCAGATTTATTGGGCTGCTTTATTTACGACCTTCCATTATAGCGGCAATATACACCCATTACGGGATATGACAAGGCTTCATGCTTGCTTACACCCCGGGCTGGTTAATATGGCAGTGATGCACTCGCTCAGCAGCTGCTCATTTCTTAAAGCTTTTCAGTGCATCTTTTGGACAATTTGTGTTACTCACATCACATGATGAAGTCGGTTTAGCCTTGATGAAAATGCAGTGGGTTTTGAGAGATCCTACACTCATAAAAATTACAATTCTGAAAGTGTGATTTCACAGATATGCCCTAAAACAAGAATCTTAACTCTAGTCCTACAAGAAACACCGTTACTGTGGAGTTTATCTCCAACTGCTAAAGAAACAGACCCGAACTAGCTAATCAAGGTCTACTAGACTCAATCCCAAATGACACACTTTATGTGCACTTGTGGTCATGTGGACTTGGCTGCTACATGCAAATGTCCATCAAGTCCACTAGACCATAGGGAATCCCATTCATGTGTGTTGAGGCACGTTGGAGCTAAACTCTGCAGGACAAGTGGTCCTCCAAAATAGAGTGTAGACACCACTGCCTTAGGGATTGGGCACTAGAAGGATATAAGCAAGTGGTTTGGTCAGGGTTGGGGTTAAATGCTGCATGGAAAGTGAAATTTAAGGTGAATCCATAGTTGAGAACCACTGCCATAGAGGAATCAAAAATCTGTCAAATCATACTGGAGTCTGTTCTTGGCTCATTCTTGGCCAGCCTAATGAAGCCTTTTGCCAACCATTGGTGCATTTCCACAGACAAACAAGTGATGATGCAACACTGCTAGATGTTGTTTCTCAGACTATTACCAGTTTAAAATCAAACATTGCACTTCCCATTGTTTCTGTAGGCAATTCAGGTTGTTTTTGTACTTTGTTGAGAATGATTCTACCTCTTGCTGTCATTTCTGCCTTTCTCAATTTAAGTCTTTGATTGATTGACATTGTGTCACTCTCTCCATTGGTTTACATATTTAGACATACAGAGCAATAGAGTGCAATTATATTACATTGCTCAATGAAACAACTCAAGACAGTGTCAGCATTTCTCTACTCCATGGCTCTGTTTAGGTTTTTAGGGCTAGAGTTGATCCAATAATCTGGCCTCTAACCCCTTTTTTTCTGGATTGGAAATGCATAGAGTAGTTTCACAATAGACCAGAAACCCTTGTTATTAGAAAAAAGGTATTTGGGGTTTTGTATTGTTCAAGTGATTATTATTATTATTTTTTTTGGATTGATGTAAATTAACTAAACATGGTTTAGAGTTCTTCACAGGTCCACACGCAATAAAACTACCCGCATCTTTGGTTTGCATCCCTCATAATGCAAGACATGCCTGCATCCTTTTCTGTCATGCGATTTGTGCATGACTACCTCAGTTGACAGCTTTGCATGAAGTATATAACTCTTCAACCAGGTGCTTTTAAGCGATTCAGACTGTGAATTTGTTGGAAATAATAGCCCTCAAGTTTACAAAAGCGTCCTGTCGTACAGTAGATCTGGGTGTGGAAGCGCGTAGTCTTCTCTATCTATCTTCAGCTGTTGTTGTGGCGAGCTTTACTGCACAGCACGTACTGCATGTGTAGATAGTACATTTCCCACAATACAATCACAATGCAGTTCTACAGGTTGTTGCTTGTTGTTTTTAAATAAATATCTTACGGCTCTCATAAGCAGACAAACAAGCAGACAAGGTTAAATAAATCAAAATGCAGAAAAAAGGTCATAAATTGCATGTGCCCAGTTCTTAGGTGTATTGTTTGTGTTAAAGTTGGTTTCATGTATGTTTTTTTATGTGATGTGATGTGGTGTTTTGTTAGATTATACAATTTCATTATTTTAATATTGGAAAACATGAACAGAGTAATGAATAAAATATCACTGTTCTGTTTTCATTTGTGTAGTCTTCATGATTAGTTTTAATGTATTAAAAACTTATTTAAACATTCAAAACATTATAAAATCGGTGTCATTTAAGCTGTTGTATGCAGAACTACATGTTTAATGCATTTTAAATAAATAAATCTATCAGGACAAAAAATGACAGCAAAACTGGCATCTTTAATTCAGGAGCACTCGCTGTTTTTCTAATAAGACTGCACACGTCAATAAGTCATCGGTTCACTGAATCGTTCACTCATTTGAAGGCTTATTTCTTTTTTTCCCTTTCACTCTCTTCACCTCTTAAAGACACTAAATGCATTCCTCTTCTCTTGGAAGTTGCTTGTGTTTTTGTGCTGCCTATAATAAGGTGCACAAGAGGTTGGTGTTTCTTTTCAGCAGACGTTTTCTAATTGAAAGGGTCGCTTTTGTCGATGTGGTGGATGCATCAACACTTTCTGTCAAAGACAAACGTCCTTCGATCAGAGCTGATGCACTGTATTGTAACTTTTGGTGAAGGGAAAAGCATGCCACTCTTTTACGGCACAATGCCATTTTGGTTTGACACAAGTATCTCTTCAGACAGACCTTCGTTGCGCCTTCCTCCGCATTTGTGTCCTTGGCTATCATTGGCTGTTCAGAGGCTCAGGTGGTTCTTTAGGTATATCCAAATGGATGTATGGTGCACTGCTTGTTTACTATGTTCTTATCAAGGTTAGCAGCTGTGCCACTGTATTTCTAACTCCGATTAAACACTTTCTGATGGGGTTGATTGTGAATCTGGGCTATTGGTTTGTGTGTGTGTGTGTATGTGTGTGTGTGTGTTTGCTTTTGTGGTCGAATGCATTGGCTGCATAGATCTTGGCATGATGTAGAATTTTTAACAATGCCTGATGGTCACTCAGCACTGATTTTTCATTTATTTATGTCTTTTTTTCCCTTCAAGGTGCCACGTGATGATGGTAGAATCAGCAACTGAGACCATTCGAACAACACCCTCCAATCAAAATGGAGTCAGCAGTCTAAGCAGCCAATCAGACGGCGGAGGAAGAGAGGGTGGGTCCAACGGTGACACCAATGGGGAGATCAGCCCGGTGGATTTACTGCATCTTCAACAGCAACAGGTGTGTGTGTGTGTGTGTGTGTGTGTTCTCTAGTCCAACTTCAGGAAGTGTCTTAGCTGTTAGTTGTTTCTTGTGCAATTCCTGTCTTGCGCAACCTACAAACAAGTAAAAAATGAAGCAAACTGAATCACACAGATTTCGAAACCTCAGTGTTGATTGCCTGGTTTATTTTCTTGCCACTCTTCACTTATTTAATGGGACAAATATTTTTTTAATTACAAGGATAGTTCACCCCGACATAAAACTTTAAGTACTTAATGCGTTAATTAGCATGAACTAATGGGACCTGATTGTAAAGTGTTAGTTAATAAAAAGGCTTCCATTAACTAGATTACAATGTACCTATTGTTAATATTGCACAACTCATATGGTGCTATAGAGCAGGGGTTCCCAAACTTTTCAGCTCGCGACCCCTAAAATAACAATGCCAGTGACTCGCGATTCCCAAATTCCTCAGAGGTGGTTATAAACATACAAATGTTGCACACACAACAATAAGCCTATATAAACACCAGCATATTGACAACACAAAAAGTGCAGCAGTTTAACAACCATATCATTTTTATAGTCATTTATTAATTTGTTTAATTTAATATTAACCTCAGCTAAATAGACTGGCGGGCACATGTTTTTTATAGCACATGTCTATTCTTGGTTTAATTTTGTAGACCACCAATCAGAGAACATTCTCAGTGTTCAGTTGTGTGCCTGTATTTATTGTTAATGTATTTGATTGCCATAAAGGTGTCAGAAAGTTTAACCTGGTGCTATAAAATCAATCTGCTGCAGCTGACGCTATTGCTGTGTTGTTAATCTAATGTAAACACTGGAGTCCAATGAAAAAAATAATTTAAAGGGTGATGGCTTTTCATTTGCATGTTGTTGTTTTTTACTATTAAAACTACTATTTTTATATTATGTGGGTTATGATTAAAATATAGTAATTTTAATAGTTTGATAAATTTATTTGACTTTTTGAAATCACCAAGCGACCCCCTGTCATTGTCCCGCGACCCCCACTTTGCAAACCACTGCTATAGAGGAGGGATACGAGTCAGGTTAGGGACATGTTTAGTGGTATAGGTAGGTTTAAGGGTGGGTTAGCTGTAAAGGATCAATCAACAGTGTACATTAGGTATACTGTAATAACATAAATTAATTACAGCTGTAATTACAAAGAGAAAATTAATTAAATATAAGTACAAAGTAAAAACACATGTATATTAGTGCATTGTTTAAAATGATTCACTTAAATGGAAGTTAATTTATTCTTTCATTCATTCGTTCATTTATTCTTTTAACATAAAAATAACTTTTGTGAAGGAAAATTTCACAGCCTAAGAGGGTGTAAAAGTATTGCAGAAGTTGTTGCACATGTAATAAACAGCAGCTCATTTTCTTTCCTTAATAAGTTGGATAGGGCTACATTTAATATAATTGATTTTTTTTGCATACAATTAAGCCTAAATGATTCGACTCCCATTAGGGCTGAGCGATTTGTCGATTTATTTATTGAACAAGTTTTGTACAGTAAATATACTCACATACTGCAAGTAAGAGAATTTTGAATGAAAGATGCATTACTTGATTTTAAAATAGTTGAAGGAAACACACACTATCTGCTATTTGTGATTATGTTTTGAATGTCAACTTTAAACGATTGAAATTATTACACACATTGCCTGAAACAGTCAATTCTTTCGTATAAAAATGTGATAATAAATAACTTGCACTTTTGGAAACAAAATAAATTATTTTCAATGTTAAATTTTTCATATTAAAAGTAGAAAATAAGCAGTATCTAAATCAAATGACTTGTACATCCTTTAAATAATATTTTAAAAAGTGCATTGCTTCTGTAAACAAATATTTTAGTTTAAATGATAATTTTATTATGCCGTCTCTGCCGCAGCTTCCATTCATCATCAATGTAGTGCAAACTTTTGACATGTAGTTAAATTTTTGAGAGGTGTGCAGGTATGCGACTGCATGAAAGCTGTGCCAGACCATACCTGTGTCTTCGATGCAGAAGTATAAAGTAGCCTTAACAGAGCAGGGTCACATGACTCCACACATGCTGGGGAAAGTAATTGAAAAAACTGACCTGGAAAAATGTTAAGTTCTTAATGTCAATTTTGATTACTTTTCAATTAATCGCCCAGCCCTAACTTCCATGTGTTTTCTCTGCTTACAAAGTATTCACCACAAAAACTCTTTTCTGTGTTCAGAAGAAAGCAAGTAGCGCAAGTTTGAAATGACAAAGGATTGAGTTAGTGAGTTCATATTTTGGGTGAACTAATCGTATAACCAACAGGCCTCATATTTCCATACAGTCATCCAGAACTGCACTCGGCGGTTTGATTTCGCTTCTGTACATGATGTAGACTCTGCTGAATTCTTGACTCTTCTGGTCCAGTTTGAGCAGCAATTTCAGTCTCGCCTGAGTCACAATGATCCTCGAAGCGACTGTTTTATGCAGTGACACGTCAGCGTGCAGAGGCTTGTGCTGTTTTTGCTCTCTGGCCTATGCGTCAGTGTCTTCCATATCCAGTTTGTCAGTTGGAATTTCCTCACTTCCCGGACTCTCTTGGCTGAAACACTCTTTTTCTGTTCACACTCTCCCCTAAATGCTTTGCAGACACACAGAGGGTAACAGGAGCCCTCAACCTTGTTATCAGTGACACAGGCCGCACGCTTGGTAACAGATCCTTGCCTTAATGTAACATTGATGAACTGTTATTAAGAGAAAGTGGGAGCTGTTAAACTAAATTATTTACCACTCCAAGGTAATACGGTGTGTAAGTGTTGCTGCTTTTTATCCTTCTATTCTGGTGTGCATTAGAATGGAATGATTGTTTAAGGAGTTTTCAAGGACGTTCTTGCATCCAAACTTGATGAGTTATCAGCCTTGACCTTCAGTCATAATTCTTTAGGTCCTCAATATATATATATATATATATATATATATATATATATATATATATATATATATATATATAAAGTCGAAGAAAAGCAACAAGTAGGCTACCTCTGGAATTATTACAGTTATTTTCTATTATAAAGGATTTTTATTAAATGATAAAATAGTCAATTGTGCACAATAATAATAAAAATAATAATAATAATAATAATAATAATAATAATAATAATAATAATAATAATAATAATAAAAATCATAATTAAAAATCATAAAATGACAAAAAATAGTAATGTATTTGTATTTAATATATTTTTAATATTACTATCTTTAGTTTATTTTTAACACATTATTTATATATTAGGAAAAAAAGCTT